ACGGTTCCATCACGCGCGTGACGTTGCATACTCCCCGGGCGAATGCGACGGCGGGGAAAGATTGCCGGTCAGTAATTACGGACCTGGTGGTCGGTTCGGGTGAATTGTATTATATCCTGCACCAGTACTGCCGAGCGGATGCTACTCTCGAGGATCGGGCGCTGTCGATCAGGAGAGTGAACTTGTCGCGAATGCAGGACGCCAACGGTCCGAGCCCGCAGGAGGAMRACAGCTTGATAAGTCACATGTGGCCATTCGGGCAGCCGAACGGGACAATAATCCGCGAACCAGCAGACTTTGGAGATGCTTACGTGACAGGAATGGGTCTGTCGAAAGATGGGATGCATCTCGTCTTGAGCGTATCCAATGGGGACCCAAAAGTAATATGGGACACTGGAACCATATCTGGTGACCAGAATCACTCCAGGTTCACATCTTTGTCGCTCGCTGACGGCTCTCGGTCGTCCTCCGGCCCTTTGAGCGAATTTGTCCAGGCGTGGGCGTTAGAGTCTAACAAGAGTTTTCTTTACTATTTGCGATCTGATTCCGTATTAATTAACGTCACCGTGAGTGATGTCGGGCTTCCAAACGGCCCTCTGAACCGGGTACCCCCCCGTTCGGGCATCCAAACGGGTATTGATCCTGACGAGGAGTTCCAATCTGGAAGCCTTGTCTCTGACGGCAGTTGCCTTTACTCCGTGACTTCTAATGACGGGTTGTTCGGGAGGGAGCTTGGGGATGGACATTTCGTCCACTCCACAATTGCATACCCTTCCGTTCCATTCCTGGGGAAGGAGATGGACGTGGTTGCAACGCCTTACGGATGTCACGTGCTCACGACCGCAAACAACACAGTTGCTGTCTTCAAACTCTGGCGCCCCTGCGGTAGTCTCAATGAAAAGCAGGCACTCCCACATTATTTCGGAGAAGCAGATGTTACGGCCTTGGCACTCGGTAACGACAGCGACGGCGTAAGCCTCTACGTGGGAACCAGCAATGGCGGCGTGTATCGCATTCCCCTGAACGGGTCGGAACTGAGCCGTTGTGGAAACGAAGTGTACAGAGACGTATATGAGCCCCACGGTACTCGAACTTCAGAACTCTACATATTTATATTTCTTGGTCTGATATTTGTCGCTACAGCAAAGGCAAGTTGCGCCGTATCTTGCGTTCGCGGTTTTCAAAAGTGTCGACGTGAGGTCAGTAAGAACCATGCCGTCACCGGCCGGCCGACGACTTCACCTGTACAGGACTGCACTGCTTTGGATTTCTGGGGACTGAGACCCTCGCGCGTCAAGCAGTTTGGTTGGAAACTGCTGTCGGATTGCACGGAGAATTTTAGCGAGACCTATCGCATCGGGGACGAAGGGGCGTTCGGGAACGTATACAGGGGCTCGCTCGATGGCAAGGACGTGGCAATCAAAGTGATGACCGGTGAGCTGACGGACGTGAAACGGAACCAGTTCGTGGCGGAGGTGAACACTCTCAGTGCAGTTAATCACGTCAATCTCATCCAGCTCACTGGTAACTGCCAGGAGGGCAACCAGTGCATCTTGGTGTACCCGTACTTCAGAGGTGGATGCTTGCACGAACGGCTGTTCCCTCACACGGCTAACCAGAGGGAACTCGCAGAGGATTCTCCTCCGCCGCTCACTCTCCAGGAGCGCATGAGCATTGCCTTCCAGATTGCCAGGGGGCTCCAGTACCTACACGATGATGCCAAGCCTCCCATCATTCATCGGGACATCAAGAGCAGCAACGTCCTGCTTGGCGATGGCTGTGGGGACAAACTTTACGTAGTC